CAGCGATTACAAACAACCTTCACACGACAATCACGTTTCAGATGTCCTAACTTTCCACACCTATAACAGCTTTTTGAATTTCCTCCGGACTGCCTAACAGTTTTGGTCTGCTTGCTGTCACTAGAAGCATGCTTCGGATAATAATTCTTTTTCTTCCTATCCGTTGCGTAAAGCACATCCTCCACTTGAGAGACAGACTTCTTACCATTGCCCATCATTTGTTTCACCAATTCTTCCTAATTTTTAAGAAGATTTTCCAAATCAATGATGGAAGGTTGAGTTGGCCACCCTTGTATCGAAGAGATAAAGGGCATAAATTCCTTGCGTAGTCCCTGAATCAGGTAACGACGCAAACATGCATCACTGACTGGCTCCGTCGTATCAAGTTCTGAAATTTCAGCACATAAGGTTTTAATCTTCAAAAAATATTCCAAAATTGACATAGAACCTTGTGTCATTTGAGCAAGTTCATTCTCCAAGAACTGCAACCGCATCGTGTTCTTTTGGGTGAATAGTCGTTCAAGTGTGCCCCACACTTGTTTTGGAGACTTCACATCACGAACATGCTCAATATATTCCTTGCTGATTGATGATCACAAAGCAAATAAGGCTTTACCGCACTTGATCCTCCACTTTCTTCGCAACTCGGCATTTTGTGATGTATCTTCTGGAATTACTTCTTCCTCACCAGAAATCAACTCCCATAAATCTTGCCCTTGTAGATAAGCTTCCATGCATAGCCTCGAGTAGTTGTAATTACTACCATCAAGCTTTTCTACAGATGCACCGTTGCCTGCATTCATCATGATTGGAAAATTAAATCAAACACTTGATGAGCAACCTATGCTCTGATACCATGAAACAAATTTAAGAAAATAAAAAGAAGAAGAGGAAGAAGTGGAAGGAACCAGACTACTTTATTAACTTGAAACCATAACTTATACCAGGACTACAACGACAACACCACTAACAAAGATAACAACAAAATAAAGGTAACAACCCACTAACTCCACTAACAAAGACTGCAACAGACTCCTAGAAAAGTGGCTAGTAAGTTTTAACTAATTTGCAACAAGGAGCACAGAGGACGAAGTGTTTTGTTCTGGGAGATTAATGGATTATATTGGTGGGTCAAAAGCTTTTTGTTTGCATAATCAAGATTACTATAGATATGGCTGCCTTGGTCTAAGAGATGTTTGTTTACAAGAAAGGAAAATAGAAGCATCATAAAAATAAATAAATATTTTAGGGGAGAAATATTGCTTAGAGATTGCCAAGTGTCAATATAGCAAACACGCCATGTGTTAAAAAGCATCAGGCTTCTTCTTTACTAGATAATAGTGATAGATAAATATAGATATGGTTGACTTGTTTTCATGAGAGGAAAAAAGAAACAGGAGAAAAATAAATAAATATTTTGGAGGAGAGATATTGCTTAGAGATTGCCAAGTGTCAATATAGCAAACATGCCATGTGCCAAAAAACACCAAGCTTGTTTGTTATTAGATGTTAATTAATAGATTCTTCTCAAGATAGGTGTATTGACACCCAGTTCCTAGTAGCTTCTAAAAAAAACTGTGAATAAAAGGTTTGTGATTGAGCATGCTTGGTGGCGTTGTTGTTCATTTATTAGCATGTACTAGTTTTAGGCCCATGCGATGCACGGATTTGTTTAATATACAAAAATTGATGTAACAAGAGAATGCAAAATAAAAATAATAATAATATATAAGTAGTCAGAACTGAGACAACCTAAGTTGCATATCTAGTTTGGAAAATTAGAAAGTTTGGAAAAGTTGAATAAGTTTAAGATCATATATAGTTTGAAAATTATAAATGTGTAAAAACGGTATTCATAAATATGGTGGGAGTTATTTTATTACTTATAAGGTAGAAAAAATTCAAAATTAAAGTGAAATGTCAAAAAAGTACCAAAAATGGGTAAACTTAAAAAAATTGAAAAAATGAAAGGTTTGGAAAAATGTAAACATGGGAAAATAATATTTGAACATTTTGTGCAAGTCATGTCAATACTTAAACCGTTGATAACTTTACAAAGAAATTGGTAAAATAAAAGTGAAACGTCAAAAAACAAAGAAAATATAATACCTATTATATAAGGGGTGTATGACATCCACCTGACGAATAAGAGACAATGTAATACCTAAATCACATAAAGTCAGTGTAAAAAAAATTGTATATGATTTCAATTTAAGAACATCATCAAACCATAAGAATACGACATAAGAAGTACTCAATTAGTTAAATAAAATACAACTTTCACATACTCTATATAAACTATTTTTTTCTACAGATAAAATATAAACTGTAAGATTATATGTTTAATAGGAATCATAAACTGAAAAAATTCCCTATCAAATTGATAAAATATAAACTGTAAGATTATATGTTTAATAGGAATCATAAACTGAAAAAATTCCCTATCAAATTCCCATGAACAAATGATAAGTATATAATCCACATATTATCATCAGAATGATTAATCAATGGAAATATGTAAATAAATAGATACATATAAAATACAATTATATTATTTACAATTTTTTTAAAAGACAATATCTACCACCTAGGAAATCTTAAATAGCTATGAAATTTTATGCTTCCTGGCATCACGCAGAGATCATTGACCTATAAAATGAACAAAAAATATAGGAATAAATTGGTTAAGAAATTAACAAAGAGAAATTACCATTCCAAAGATTGATCAAAGAAGGTTGTAGAGACTACGAATAAGAGAGATGCGGAGGGAGGACATCGTTTGCTGGAAGGCTGAGGCGACTGGCAGAGGAGACTCAACCCAAATAAAAATTGAGAGAGAAAGATTCAACGCAGAGAAGAGTCAAGAGAGATGAATGTTCCTAGGAAATGAAAAATTGGAGATTAAATATGAAATTGAATCAATTTTCATGTGAAATTGAAGGAATATGAAATCCCTATAGGCATTTGAAGAGACAGTTGAAGGAATATGAAATCGCTCAAGTCCAACCTTCTGAATTTGTTCGAGCTCGCATCATGGTCGGTCGAAGATGATTCACAACAGTTTGGAGGAAAAAATGTATATATGTAAGATGAGGAGGGGAGATATTAAAGGAGAAATTTAAACCTAAGAGGTCAAAATAAATGTAGGTCACAGGAAATTAAAGCAGAAGATGAAAGGTTGTTGAAGATACAAAGTATTGCTATTTTCAAAATACAGAGGAATTTTGGAAACCGAAATTGATGCAACCAAGATTTAATTTTGGAAACCGGATTTGGAGGTATTTGAAGAGGCAGTTGTAATTTCCAATTGCATCCTAGCCAATAGAGATTGGGATGAAGAGGTGAAGAGGATCTTTAATTAAGTGTGAAAAGAATTTAAAAAGAAAAATCTTAGAAGCTGCCACGTGGCAATAGACTGCAGGTAGGTTATTATTTTAGTAGTATATTATTTTATTAGTATATTAGTATATTGATGTAGATAGATTAATTTTTTTAATTTTTTATTTAAGAAAATAATTTTAAAAAAAGAGTTTTTAGTTATAGATATAGATTTTTTGCCATGTGTCATTTTTGCCAAGGGCCGTTTTCAAGGGTAAGAGTTTTTAGTTATAGATATAGATAGTATATAGTATATTAATGTAGACAGAGTTATTTTTTTAATTTTTTATTTAAGAAAATGATTTAAAAAAAGAGTTTTTAGTTATAGATATAGATTTTTTGTCATGTAATATTTTTGCCAAGTGGTGTTTTCAAGAGTAAGAGTTTTTAGATATATATATAGATGTGATATGGTCTCGTATGAAGTGAATGTTAGAAGCCATAGTTACGGTTTTGACACCTTGTACGAAATGAATGTTAGAAGCTATAATTACGTGTGTTGACACCTTGTGTGATATCATTGTTAATATAGGAAACGGTGCAACAACTCCAGTTAAATCTAATTAGAGTTTATTACACCCATCTTACCCTAATATTATGAGAAGTGCATATCAAATACGAGTACTCCACATGCATAAACAATGTTTGAACAATCACCAGTTTGTGTAAGTTCCTTTATTAACTCTTTCTGCAATTAATATTTCTAATTTTTCTATTATTTTCATTTGAGCACTATTATCTTGTAGCTTATTTACCGTCAATTTGAGCTAACTTCCATTTCATTATATTTTATATTTATTGGATTATTGACATCTACAAATTCGCCCTTGGGATTTCACTCCTTTCAAGGTACTTGCTGGATTAAATCTAATGGTCCACCTGTTTTCCTTCCTCAGGTCGTTAATGTGAAGCAGATTGTTTGACTTGATTAGTCGAGGATAGAACATGAAAAAATAAAATAAGTTATATATATATATATGAAATGATCTTTTTAAAAAAATTGATAAACAAATAGTGTACTAATATGCTTAGCATATTATTCTAGCGGATACATCGCTAGAGTGGTGCATTGCCGAGTCATATGTTGTTTCAATCGCGGGGCGTAACATCGAGAGTTCACCAATATTTTAAGGAGGATTTGGTCATTTTGTCATAAATAATAAGCTTATTCTAACGTTTTAACCATGTATTTATCTAAAAAAAAAACATATCACATAAACAAATTTGATGTCGATTTTGATCTTTTCCATTTCACTTTAGAGTCAGATCATTTTTTTATATAATGATGTTTCACTTTGCTCTTACAATTAAGACCAAAAGCAAATCCATCTTTGACAAAAATGGTGCTACGTGATATCACTTTGCTCGCCCAAAGCTTAGATAAATGTTAGGATTAGATTGCTAAAAGATGCTAATATATTACTGAAAGATGTTTGCTTAGTTTCGTGTGATATAGTGATTGTAATATGTGGTTTTTTGGTTGTACGTTCATATTATTGAATTTAAGTGCAAATATGTCCTACTTTGACATACATATATATATATTAAAAAAATGTGTAACTGATGAATTGCAATGCAAAATAGGATGTCAAATTGACAGACTTTTCTCTATGCTGCGATTATATTGCTGATAAATTTTGAGCTTGGGCTTCAAACGGAAGTTTAAGCATCTTTTTCAAAATATGAAAACTCTTCAGATGTAATTGTATAATTTTCTCAACTTCTCCAAATTCTCGGATCAAAACGGTTATGTTCGCACAGGGATGGATAGGTCACGTCATTGAATATCTGTTTAAACCGTCGTCTCAATCCCCCGGATAAAGAAAGAGCCACCCGCTCCGAATGTCACTACCTTTCTTCTCCTCTCTCCTCGACTCCTCAATTCACCCTTCCCAAGTCTTCCAAATCCACGCTCTCATTCTCACCTCTGGGCTCTTCAACTCCCACTCTCTCACCTCAAAACTCCTTCAATCTTCCTCTAAGTTCAACCAACTCCAGCATGCTCGCCAACTGTTCGACCAAATTCCCCAACCAAACATCTTCGTCTATAACTCAATCATCAAACTTCATTCCAATCACAACCTCTTCTACCACACCCTCCAATATTACTCCCAAATGATAAGAACAAATATGGGCTTTGACAGGTTCACTCTCCCGCCTATTCTCAAGGCATGCACAGGGCTTTCGAGCCTCAATTTTGGTCGTTCCGTCCATGCCCTTATCGTGCGTTTTGGTTTTGAATCAGATACTTTTGTTCAGAATGGGCTAATATGGATGTATGCAAAGTGTGGTGAAATTAAACTTGCTACTGATGTGTTTCATGAGTTGAAGAGTAGGAATGTGGTTTCTTGGACTTCAATTATAACGGGTCTAACTCAAAACAGGTACCCGTTAGAAGCACTCCGCATTTTTCAGGCTATGAGGGTTTCATCGGATGTTAGACCCGATTTCATTTCATTAGTTACTGTGTTGAAGGCATATACTGATGTTGATGACTTAGGGCATGGGAGCTCTGTTCATGGATTGATAGTGAAATTGGGGTTGGATGATGAAATGGATTTGGTTATTACTCTTTCTGCTATGTATGCTAAGTGTGGCCAAGTGCTTGTTGCTAGGTTGTTGTTTGATACAATGCAGAATCCCGATGTGATTCTTTGGAATGCCATGATTTCTGGGTATGCAAAAAATGGATTTGCCACCGAGGCGGTGGACTTGTTTAAAGAAATGGTTGCAAGAAATATCATACCCGATTCAATTACAATAAGATCGGCAACCATGGCCTGTGCTCAAATAGGCTCACTTGAAGTTGGAAAATGGATGGAGAACTATACTTGCAAAAGTGAGTATAAAGATGACATCTTTGTTAAGACAACTATCATTGATATGTATGCTAAGTGTGGTAGCCTAAGCAACGCTCATCGAGTTTTTGAAACTATTAGAGATAAAGATGTGGTTGCTTGGAGTGCTATGGTTGTCGGTTATGGATTACATGGCCATGGAAAGGAAGCAATTAGATTGTTCAATGAGATGATAACTGTAGGAATCAAGCCAAATGATGTCACATTTGTGGGTATTTTGTCGGCATGCAATCATGCTGGGCTAGTTGCTGAGGGCTGGAAATATTTTGATTCAATGAAAGAGTATGGAATTGAGGCAAGACATCAACATTATGCTTGTGTTGTGGACCTTCTTGCTCGAGCTGGTCATCTGGAAAAGTGTATGGGGGGCATTGTTAAATGCCTGTAGGATCCATAACCATGTTGAGTTCGGGGAATTGGCTGCAGAACAAATTTTTGATCTTGACCCGTTGAATGCTGGTCACTATGTTCAGCTTTCTAATATATATGCTTCTACTGGAATGTGGAGTGGTGTGGCAAGAGTCCGGGTACTAATGGAGGAGAGAGGAGTGGCAAAGGAAATTGGAAATAGCTTTATTGAGATCAATGGGAAACTTCAGTCATTTCGAGTTGAAGACTTGTCCCATCCGAGGTCACGGGAAATATTCTTTGTGGTTGATGAATTAGAGAGGAGGATGAATGAATCTGAGTTTGCTCCGCATATTGATTTATATTGCGCATATTGAATGAGGGGAATGAAGGAATGCTTTTCAATAACCATAATTCTAGAACACCAATTTGCTACCAATATATCAGATGGAGAGAAAGGAGGTACTGGTCAGAGATGTCACTCACCTCCGTCACTTTGTCGGAGTAAAAGTATAACTCTCAACTCTTATCATAACTCACAAAGTTTTGGTGTAGTGGAGGACCTTTAACATGATATCATAGCAACCCGGGTTCAAATCCCACTAGCCATGTATTTAATGATGATTAAAATTAAGAGATGTTGCTGCGTGATTCTAGATTTTTGCCCATGGAAAGAGCGCTTAACTATAATCCTTAACCCGCGCCGTGACTCTCAGAGTTATGGTGTAGTAGAAGGTATCTTTAACAACCTTAAAGCTGAGTTTTTGTTGAAATAATTTCTGAAGCTCTCTGCCATATTCTTCAGATTTTGTGGCTTCATCTCTTTTTAAAGAACATCAATGTTTTCATGGTTAACCATTTTAATGCTGACCACAAGAGAAGGACAGTGTTGAGTAGCGGGAGATATTGAGCAAAAAATCTTTTAAATTATGTTACTAGCAAGAAATCCATGCACAAGATTCGGGTGCACAAAGTGCTGCTCATGCTTATATATTCTGCTCACTTAATGTGTGGGACGCGGCTTAATGGCTTAATAATGAGATTCCTGTGTTATTACTTATGTTTTCTGCTAATACAACAAATACGAAGAAGCATACTACCTACACCAATTCATATCGAAGAAAGGCCAATTTCCTAAATTAAGTAGTATGTAATAGAACCATTTTTTTTCTTCTCTGTAAAATACATCTAGCATGGGTATGCAAAATCTATGCAGCACGGATAATTTGACCCAAGGGATGTATTCAATACCTGATGGATATGCGTTTGATACTTCTTTCTGACTTGACATAAGATTCGAAATATATCCAGACACACCAAAGATATACTAAAAACTTATCCAAAATAATGAATGATGGATTAGCAATTCTATCTGATTTCCAAAGGCATTGTATTTGTACAGTTATTCTACTTTCTAAGTGAGAAACTCCTAATGACAAACATCATTGCTGATGCAACTGTTAATCTATATAACTTGAAAATTCTTTTAGAAAGCTTTTAACCCTTAGAGATGATGCTTTGAGATGTGTAGATATTGAGGGGCAATGTATTATGTGGAATGAAACTAAACCCCTATTTAGTACTTATTCAGCCTATGCTACTCTTAGTGGTAATCTGGATCTGAAAAAGTTGGTTCCCTTTAGTGTGAAATAGGTATTGTGAGGACGTTGTACGTACAATATCTCTTCACTAGTACAAAACGGATCTGTTAGACAAGTCAAAATAGCCCAAACGGTCAACACCGTTTGGGCTAATATATCCCAAACGGTTAAAACCGTTTGGGCGACTGAAAAGTCTCAAATAGAGCTCCCAAACGGGTTAAACAGTTTGGGATATTTTAGCCCAAACAGATTCAACCGTTTGGAAGCTATGTTAGGGTTTTTAAAAAATAATTTTGTAATTAATGTTTTCTAACCCGCTCGTTCGCCCCCAAACTTTTCACGAGTGGCGTCCAAAATTTTCAACCAGCGGCCAGCAGCGCCAAATTTTCATCCCCAAATTAATATCTCACCGCACTCTCTCAAATCCGCCTCCACCTCTTTCAAACCAAAAAAAAAAACGCCCCCCTCTCCCAAAATCTAGGGTTTCTCTCGCTCTCTTGAGCCCCCTTTTTCTGGCTGCTCTCGCTCTTCTACTTCCTCAATCCCCTCAATTTCTCAAGCGGACTCTGATTCTTCTCTCGTCGACGGTGACCAGATCCCTGATTCGTCACCCTAGTTCGGTTTAATTCGCTCTGCAAATTATTGTCATTTGAAGATGTTTTGGAGAATCCCCAACTTCTCTGCTTCGTCTCCGGTGAGTATCAATAACTAATAGAACTTTGATTTGTGTCTACGTTTGAATTCTAGGTTAATTTGCTAGATTTGTTGGATTGGTAAAATTTAGGTTGCTTTACGTGTCTTTTGTTCAATTTCATTGGTAAGCCGTAGGCTTTTTCGTGTTTCAAACTCAATTCAGCTTTGCTATTAGTAGATTGATTTAATGTTTTTTTAAAAAAATTGATTTTTGGGTCTTTTTGCAGTAGGAATCCAACACCTGTTTACAGAATAAGTTTTCTTTAAGAGAAATTAGGGTTAAACTGACTAGATATTGACTTTGGGTAGTAGTTATTTAGTCAGTTGTTTATTGGGGCTTCAATAAAATTGCTCGGAGGCCATGACACTGATGACCATAGACCTGTGTGGACTAAATTTTATATAAATTACTTGATCGGTAAGTTTTTTAGTGAGTCCAATTTTAGTAGTCTGGAAAGAGGACTGATGAAAGGTATTAAATTGATGAGCAGCGAGCTATATAATATGCATAATTAATTTTTATGAACCAAATATAGAGCTATTCACTGAGTATAGCTCTCTGTGTAAACACTGAGTCATTAGTTTGGCGTTACCTTTTATTTTGGGTTAGTTTCTGATGTGGCTTATTTGATGAATCCTTTTCTGAACTTTAGTATTGAAAGAAGACCAATGATTTGTAGCGAGAAATGTTGATTATATGTCACCATCTTCAGCTAAAACTAGATTCATCTGCTAGTAGGCCTTTTTTTGTTTCAGGCATAGTGCATTACATTAGGCTTGTTCTCATATTAGTTTTTCAAGTCTTGGTATTTCATTTTAAGTTGAACTAGACTGGTCTCTTAAACCATCAAAACTTGAATATTCTGTTAACAAGTATGTCACTGTTTTGGGATCTGACTTTTATCATGTCTTGGTAATTCTTTTTTCTTAAATATATCTTTAATCATCATTCACATATTATGTTATTCATGACTGATACTGCATTTTTTTCCAGATTGAGTCCATATTGGACAAGGAAAACTTCACGCAGGAAGAACTTCTGGATGAAGAAGATATGATTCAAGTATGCAAAGCTTTAAACACCCACCTTATAAATTTGTAATATATATATATATATATATATATTTTTTTTTTTCTCTTAAAATGTTTTCTGTAATTGGAAATTTACTTATTGAGCAGAGAAGAGTTGAAATTATCACTTGTTCATTCTGGGTTGGGTGTAGTAGGACTAGTTTTGATTTTAAATATAAACAGAAAATAAATGGCTTGATTGGTCCATTCTGTTGGTTGGCGAGCAGTGGTATTTCAATAATTCCTATGCTGATTGGCTTTTTGGTTTCAGTCATTACTGATCCTTTCTTTCTGCTTCTTCAACCTGAGAACTTAATCTAGTTTCAAAATATTTTGTTTCTTACGCGCATGCTTTTCTTCGTAGTTCACTAGAAAATACAGGCAGAAAGCTTATGTATATAATTATTAGTATGTTCTACTAAATAGAATACGTAAGTCCATCCAAGGTAGTGGCCTATGCAACCAATGCTGAATGATGTCTGGTTTTGAAGGGAAAAGGAAACCAGCTTGCAAATCGGCGAGCAAATTTTTATGTAACTTTATTCATAAAAAGTAATATTATAGTGAGAAAATGGACTAACTTGATACTTTATGTATCCAGCCTTAGAGACAGAGAGCTCAAGTAGAACAATTGGTGCAATATATTGCGGAAGATGCTCCTGCAGATGCTGAAAGCAAGCGAGCCTTCAAGTATGCTTTATTACTATTTTAAATTGTGGCTGTTGTATTCTTGGATTTCAGTGCAGTTTTGTTTCTGTTTTTTCTTTTTCACTAAAGTTATTTTGTGAACCAGGTTCCCTTTCATTGCTTGTGAAATTTTCACTTGTGAGATTGATGTTATTTTGAAGACATTAGTAGAGGACGAAGAGGTAGCTGATTGACAAAGTTCTGGATCAGCAGACACATCATCATCAGGAACAGAGAATACTGCAGTCATCGCCGCTGGTTTAGCTCTAATATCAGTTGCTGCAGTATTGGCAATTCTTCTACAAGTTGACAAAAAAACACCTCAAGTTCAGAGTACAGAGTACTCTGGACCTCCACTCAGTTACTATATCGGCGAGTTCAAGCCTACAAGTATTGTAGAGGCTGCAGTTATTTCTAAGCCTCAGAGCTCTCCAACTGTAGAGGCTTCTGCTCCTTCTGAACCCGAGATTGCGTCGAATGTGCAGTCTGAAGCTGATGCAAGTGCAGCTCCTGAGGTCCAAGTTGAATTGAAGGTGAAGGGTGAAAGTTCAAGTGTTGAAAATGTTTCTTGATTGGATGGATCAAGCCACTCCTATATTATATTTTGGATGTATGAGTCATTTTGGATATTAGAAAAATATATATAATATTGGATGTTTTTCATTGTGTATGTATATATAATATTGGATATTTAGCATTGTTTGAGTATTTTGGTGTATGTATATATTTTTGATTTCAATGTGATATATTGAGAAATTATTGTGTGAGATGTGCATATTAAATGTAAGCAGGTAGATATTTAAAATACGGTTACACCCGTTTAAGATTTTGCCCAAACGGTTACAACCGTTTGGGAGACCGTTGTGGAAAACTCTTCCCTAATGGCTTCAGCCCAAACAGTTTTTTTTACTCGGCCAAACGGTTGTAACCGTTTGGGACTGCATTTGTCCAAACGATTACAACCGTTTGGACAGATCAGTTTTGTACTAGTGCTTATTTGAATAATAACAAGAACGAGACGTGAAAATCAACCCAAAAGGTGATTTCAGGTTGTGGACCATCGATGGTGCACATTGACCATTGATGATGACCACGAGACCATCAATGATTCCCTTAAATCATTGATAGTGCAAATGTCCAGTGATGTTTAAATTATCGATGGTGTCCTCTACCATTTGATGGTCACTCAACACCATCGATGGTTGAGGGCCACCATCAATGGTTGAGATGACTAATTCATGTTTTTAGCTTTTGATCTCAGCTATCTGTTGCATATCAAGATCCAAACGTCTCCCACATTTTGTGTATTGTTTTCCTAACCTAATTAAAAGAGAAAAAGAGAGAGAAAGAGGATGAAGACCTATGGTTGAGTTTGGTGATCAAGGAGAGCCTTTCATGGTTCACTTGGATCATTCGAAGAACAGTTTGCAAATCAAAAGGGCTGTAAAGATCATTTTGTATTGAGCTTAATTGTTATTTATTTTTCTTTATATATTGAACTTCTTTTATGGTGCATTAAAGCAGATTGAATTGAGGCTTCGGACTAGCTAGGGGTCAATAATTGTCCAATATGAAGGGGTTATACAAGTGTGGTGGTGATGGAACCGGACTATCGGTGAGGGCCCGAATTTGATGGCATAGTTCCATAAGAGGTTTGGGGTGGAGGAGGGGACTGAGGGTACTTAAGAATACTAGACTACTGAGGAGGTGCATCAAACATCCTCCAGAGAGACCTAGGAGGGTGAAGAGGAGTATGCTCTAGCTCTAAGAGCTAGGACCAGTGGGAACAATAGCGGTTGGTGGTGGTGGTTATGAAGGAGATGTTCCACCTGGGGGCCTAAAGGTGATAGAGGAGGCTACAGAGGTGATTATTCTATCTAGAGATTGTTTGGGTCAGAAATTGTTTTCTTCATCGTATAACTCGTTATAACTTTGATCATTACAACAAGTTCAAAAAGATTGGTCTTTTTATAATACCTTTACACAATAAAAATAAAAATTATATTCTCCTTCAAATAACATACAGATCCTATTTATTAGTCTCTGTTTGCATGGGATCATTTGCCTGTGCCGGGGTTTATCCGTGGACCGCCTACGAATCAGATCCGGTTGATAGAAGACTAAATGTTCGTTGCTTCACAAAGGAAATAAGAACAGAAGTGATAATCTCGACCAAACGAGATTACGACTCTTCTTGAGATCAAGTCCAAGCCTAATCTCAAGGCATGAGGGGATGAGCCTCAGATCTCTCAAAATCCACTCTTTATGGCCCTCGTCTCTTATGGGGGGATGGGCCTGATCTAAAGCGAGATCCACTCTGTCAAATCGCCAAGATCTGCTAGCCTCCTATGAAATTTGTGGTCCTTGGCTCTGCAATTTGACAGAACCTCACCCTCTTTGATTAAAATTCGCCCCCCGTGAAAGAAGACCCTAGGCTTGTATTTATAGGGCTTTGGATGTAAGGTACTTGGATAAGAATGAATGATTTAGGCATATCTTCAGTTGACAATGGCCTAACCATGTTTATGGATGATATCAAGTCAGTTGGGAACCTTTGGAACGAAGAAATCCTAAAAGAATCACCCGAAAATGCATTTTGGGAAGTCAGGTGCGTCGCAGGTCCTGGTGTCCTGAGCGGACGCTGGACACTGGTTGGTGTCTCGCGTGATCGCGGGTCACTTCGGGAGTTAGCCATTTTTTGGCCTTTCGGACTTGTAGTTTTTGCCGTTTTTGTGTATCTTGTCGTTTGGTTGACTTTTACGCTTCGCTGACTTGCTTCATGCGCTCGTTAGCTTCTTTACAGCTTTAGATAATCCTCTTTGACTCGGATAATCCTCTCCGACTTAGATAATAACGTTCATCATTTTCTCTTAGTCTCGAGCTGTATTCGAACACCTATAGATATTTTTAGACGTCTACAAATACCCCCTCAAAAATATTTCAGACTCATTCTTTTATAGAGGAGTCTGAAATGCTTTGGATAAGATAGGCCCTGTTTTCAACCTCTTCAGTATTTTGTGGAGGAGATTGCGTAGAAAGACCTATGAATTGCTTTAATTCTTGACTTCTTCAGCCTTTAGTCTATTTAGTATTTTGTTGAATAGATGAAGTTCTTTCGACGCTGCGTTTATCGTCTGACCGTTATCAAAATCTTGAGCTGAACTTGGTGTGTAAGTTTCTGACTTAGCTCGTGTCATTGAGTTGACATTGAACTGATCGTCTTCTTCAGGAATTCATAACTGAATCGCAATTGAACTCCCTGGAATCATCCTTTAACCCAAAATTTTTCCTTAGCCTTATTTTGGCAAATTTGTCGATGCGTTGATCGACATTGACCTTTACTGTAACAAAAGATGGAGGATTCAATTTGTCGATGTGTTGATGCGTTGACCTTTACTGTAATAAAATAAAAAGCAAGAATAAAAAGAGAAAAATCAAGAAAATAAAAGATGGAGGATTTAATTAAAGATATGAGTGATTTAGAATTGAATCCACTAGCTAATCTCAATTATAAAATACAAACTATTTTCTTTTTATCATATTTCAACTTAGATTTATTAAGCATAGACTATCAAACCATTTAAGGAAAGTATAACCTATCAAATTATCATCTAAGTCAAAATAAAAATCATGATAAGAACAACAACAAGATAGTAATCCTAGAATTTATAAGTATAACCTATCAAACCACTCAAGATAAACATAGATTATCAAATTCTTCTTCTATCAATTAGTTCTCTAGTTGATTATCCTATACATGATCATTTTAAGTGTAAGAGAATAATTTGCATAACATAAAGAAAATTAGACTAGTTTTATACAATTCTAAGATTACTATAAGAATTAATTTCACATCTTAAGAAATAAAAGAAAGAAGAAAAAGAACTAATTACAAAAATAAAAAGAAAAATCTAAACTATAAACAAGAAATAAATCTAACTACAAAGAATTAAAATCTAAACTACAAAATAAATTATAAAAATTAAATGCAAGAAAATAAATCTACTCTACAAATTAAAGTGCAAAAAGAAATAAAAAGATAAAAAAATAAATCTACATTACAAGCATGAATGTAAATCTAACTAATAAGCAATAATAAAGAAATTACTAAAAAATAAATCTACATTACAAGCATGAATGTAAATCTAACTAATAAGCAATAATAAAGAAATTACTAAAAAAAGAAAAAAAAAATGCAAACCTTCAAATTGCTCTTCATCTCCATCCTCATCATTCAACAAAGAGGAGAAAAACAATTTAAAGTGGAGAAAAATTCTTTTGTTGATTGTAACAAAAAGTTACAATTTTTGGAAGGTCTTCTCAATTAAGAGTAACCCTCCTCTCCAAATAGAGTTACAAAATTTTTCACACATCTAACCCCTCACTCTCTACCCCTATTTATAATAAACATTAGTGAATGAGAACCCTTGGATCGAAATTTTATCCAAAAACCATGAATTTCAGCCTTTGATTCGTAACAGAATGACAATGGCATCGATACCAGCATCGATGCGGGCATCGATGTGGGCATCGATGCCGCGCTGCAATTGCAATCCGCAGCTTCTTCTTCTTTTATGCTTTGGGCTTGGGCTTCTTTGACATTTCTTCTTCTTTTGGGCTTTCATGCTTGAGTTCTTCATTTAATTAGTGGGCTTTGTTAAGAGAAGAGATATTGGGCTTTTATTTTTGATTAACCTGCAATTAAAGATAAAAATAATTATTAGTGATAAATTTATTCATGTAAACTAGATAATGAGTGTATAAAATTATAATAAAATATGATTATCAAATACCCCCATATCTAAACTTCTGCTAGTCCTCTAGCAAAGAAAGAAAAAAAAAGAAAATCTAACTCACTTTCGCAGGAATCGTGGTTGTATTTAGCGCATACAACAAGCCTTTAAGCCCCTAGGTTACCCTAGTGGACGAGTTGTAGTCTCGTGAGGGTTTGCAGTGAATATACCCACAAAATTCGGTCAACTTGCTAAGTTAAATAAGTCAGTAAATAACTAATTATCTTTGATATATTTAGACATTCTAATTGAAGCTAGTTAATAATCAAGAAAACGTTTTTATATATAACTCCAATGTAAATCCCCTAGAAAATCTTTTTCATTATAGCAATACAAAACCAAGTCAAATCTTAGAAATTTAATTAAAAAGTTTTGAAAAGAACATGCCAACTCTTTGTTTTAAATAACTTTCAAGTCTCTTGATCAAAAATTGTTTTTCAAGACCATATATACAAAACAACAATATATATAAAAAATGGTTAGTGTTATAGATATATATGTATAATTTTTTTTTCACTCTTTAATTCTTGGTGATTGTTTTCTATTTTAACGGGCTTTCTAAGTGACCATTTAACGAGTTTTGGGCCAATGAATCCCAACCTAATTGGGCTTAGGTCATTAAGTATAGAGATACTCCTTGGGCTTAATTACTCAGTCAACTTAGGCTTTATAAGATAGAATCACCTTGAATTCAAGAGTTTTTTATTGTGCTCATTTTTTGCACTCTTCTTTTATAAGGTTAGTTTTTTTTATATATATATGTGTGCATATATATATGTGTGCAAGTATATATAGTCTGAAAAAATGTATAAATCAAGATAACTTAAAAAATATATTTTCAACTCTAAGTTAAGCATGCAAAAATTTT